AATCAGGTCTTGAGGCCACATTCCCTCATCACAGGAAGCAACGTTGGGCTGCGGTGCATCGGCACAAGTTGCTTCACCTAACCCAAGCAGCTTAAAGTTATGGATTAAAAGTTCCACTTTCCCCACCAGGGAGCCGATTTACCAGTCCTACCTTAGATACCTAAGATATGAGAGGGGAAGAGAAAACACGATTGAATAAGGAGCCTTGTCTTTCCTAAACGAAAAATAGAAAGAACTTTGAACTGAATCCCGTAATGTAAATAGGCCCCAGTCTAAAACAATTTAATCAACAAGAGTTTGAAAAAACACGCTACACTCGATCCCAAAGGGGAAGGAGGAACGGGAGAGGAGAACAGCATGGAAACAGCATAAGAAATAAGCACGATCAGAGTCAAGGGACCCCCACTTTCGTGCAGAAGCCCAAACTACAGAATTCCTTCTTCTCTATTATTCCCAATGGCATCAAAGAAGCACATAAGGACTTAAATACCAAATTGAAGCATGAGCATTGACACCCAAACGAGAATAATACAAATCAGCTGAAATAAGAACCCCTAGCGAAATCAAGCTCTATAACGTCACTCGTGAAATTAACTCTGATAAAATTTCATTTGATCTGCATCACAAAAAGACCCTCTCCTGGCTTTTAACATAGAATGGACTTAAATTTTCTTCTTAGATTTTCTTTGTTAGTATACAGGACAAGTCAATTACTAAGAAAAACTGGGCTAGTTGAAACCAAGAGGGTTTTATGGTTACTGTCTGCTGAAAACACGCTTTCATTATTTTTACTAAACTGAAATGAGGCTCAAAAGACTAAACAAACCACAGATATCTTTAGGACTCCATAGTTAAGCCCGAAAAGAAATAACATCCCAAAGGTCCTTAAAATTCTTGAACATATTAGCTCCAACCCTGGGATGGAAATCTTTGAAATGTCAGACTTCCTCAATCTATTGTAATGCTTTAATATACTTAATATAATTATGTATGATAATATGTTTATACAAGGTGACCTTATCAGTACAAGAAAGTACTGTTATCAACAAGGGCCCTGTTAAAAATTAAAATGTCATAAAGACATAAAAAGTAATCCTAATACAGCCGGTTGAAGTACGTTTATATAAAGAAAACTAAAATATTCTATTTACATAAATAAATATCATCTAAATCATAGAATGTTTAATGTTTTGTGTAAGAATTGACAGTATATTCTGGCATATAATATAAACGCCTGATGTTATAGGGAAGTTGTAGACTAATAGATGTGTTTTAGGACACGTTTTATTGCATTTGTGTATTTAAATTTATAATTTTCAATGTAGAAATAAGTATGAGGTAGTTGCGGGCTTGAACTGTTCTTTTACATTTTTGAGTGATTTGAGTAGTATAAAACTGAATTTACAATTATTCAAAGGTAAAATGGAAGGTCTACAAAGGAGATCATGATAATGGTGGATACAATGAAGTAGTTCTTCGCGATCTTTTCGAAAAGGTATTATTTTTAAATGTAATTTTCTAACAAAAGCTTATGCACTGATAGATACAATAACAGGAAATAGTGCCAAATATTTATGAGCAATTATCAAATCCATCGCTAGTTTTTGTGCTCAGAGGGGGGGGGGGGGTTTCCAAGCCCCGGTTGCAGACAAGTTAGGTAAGCCCTCATTTGCCGACAAGTTGGGAAATTTACAGAATAAGCACTCCTAGATTGTGAAAACTCTTCATTTTTGCAATTTTTTCAAGGAAGATTTCACACCCCACATGCCCTCTTATAGCAACGGGACTTACAGTTGCAATTATTTTTTTAAGTTTCGTGAGAATTGTTGAATACCATACTGCAAAATGATATCAGTAGTCCAAAAATTGTAACGCACGAATTATTGTTAAGAAGTTTAGACATTTAGTAATGTGAACAATTTTTTGGCGGTACAAAACTTGAAAGTGGCTTTGAAAAAAACAAATATTTCGCAATATACTAGAAACTTTTTAGTCTGACACTCCTCAGATAAAAAGACGACCAGGCCCTTCCAATTATATGAAACATGTCGTCATTAAAGAGTATTGCACAATCTGGGTTATCTAAAAGGTTTTCGATGACAGAGTCATATGTTTTTACTGTGTTTTTAAACCTACAAGATGAGTAGTATGTTGTAAAATGTATGCTTTTTCAAAGCAATTAGTAATGTTCGAATCTTTGTTATAGTATGGCAATGTAATCGATGTTCTAATCTCGGCAAAGAAAAATGGACTGGGCATAATTGAATTTCAAAAATCTTCGCAAGCGGTAAGAAAAGAAACTGATTATATTAGAAAACCGGATTCTCTAATTCAAAATTTTTCAAATCAAAGATTCTCTTTACCTAATTTATTCTTTATCACACTATTTTTGAAAATGGATGTAGTTGACATTTTTCAGATGAGGAATTAAGCAAAAGAAATTATTATTTTGTCCAAAAATGTCTTTCTCCGATAGGATCTAGGATACCTTGTAGTGTTTTGCTAACCCAGTCCCTCACCCTAAAAGAATCTAAATTGTTTATTTTAAAACAATTTCGTTTCTCAAAGAAATGAATTATTTGAAAATTTTATGTTATATTTTTGCTCTTTAATTCCTAAAACACAAGAAATATACCCCGTAGTGAAATAACCTTGGACCAATACACCTTTTAAATAAGAAACAAAACTGACTTATGAAAAAGTAGGTTCTTACTTGTGGGAATGTATGCCTTTTACTGTAATACAGGCTGAAATTCTATGTAAACACCATTTTTTGTAGTGTGAACGATAAAAATCACTGTAGGTCTAATAATTTATCTGAATGTGCACTTAACTAGTCCATCATTTCGCGCAGCTTATTGCTATGGAGTTTGAGCATGGTTTTACGGAAAATCCTTTGAAAATATCCTGGCTCCAAGGCGAAAAAAAGACAGTGAATAAAGAACAAAAAAGCAATGCAGAAATGGGAGCCCGTGTTAAGCAGACAGCCACTACATTCAAGGTATTGAGATAGTTTATATACAATCGACTCCGCGAAAAGTAACAGTCACATAAAATTTAGACCGATATATGCAAGACTGTTCAATTTAGCGGTCACATTCTGGTTACATTTAAGCAAAATTGGCCCGAATATATCCAGATCTTACTACTGCCCTATTTATATGCCAGTGTCCAGTGGCAACTTTTTTGCAACCCATTAGCAACAGTGACTAGTATTATTTTTTTTATTTTGCTTGATATAAAGAAAATGTCTTCAAGTTTCTAGTCTAAAACAAGGCCCCATTGACACAACTCCATTTTTGAGAAATCTTATCAAGCTTTTTTGCCATGTGTTTACCTTCCCCCGATATGAATCGGTTAGATTTAAAATTGTACTTTATAAAAAGATTGAAGTAAAAACTGTTTAAATGTTGCTTTTATTTTTCATTTAAAAGCTGGATACTAGTTAAAAGTGGAACCAAAAGGTTTTTCAAAAACCTTTTGACTTGCCAAAAACAATGGTACATTTTCTAGAAAAACAATTGCTTGAATAATTGATCTTAAAGTAGCAGAGTTTCTTGATTCTAGCTATGTCGGAATATCTTACGAAGAGATGTTTTTAGAGGAACACGATTATACAATGTTTTTAAAAAGATGGCATAAAAATTGCACATAGTACATTAGAATTCTGTATTAGTGTCGTTAGATTCTTGACTGTAGCTAGGAACAAGATGAAAACAGAAAGAAGACTAGAAAGACGTTTGCTATATGAAAAAGTGGAAATTCAATCAAGAAGGAAAATGAAACACTCGAAATTTCACAATGAAACACTCGGTAGCTACTTTGGTAACACACAATTTGTGTGATTTTTAACTCCAAATGAAAGGAACTGGCTTCTAATTTTTGATTGTTTGCAATGATAGAAATATTCGAAAAATGAAAAGTTCCTTAGGGGTTTTGGTCTTTAGTAATAACGGTTCTTTAATTTTTCTATCTACCTTCTACATGTAGGTAGGTTCCTTATAAAGTGGTTCCTTATAAAAAGAGCGTGACAACATTTGAGCTTGCAGTATACCATAAAGCAGCGTTTAAATGGAAAGAATTGAATGCTATTCAAAGTTTGCAAATAAACTAGCAAACCGAGAATTTTCTAATAAAGTGCTTTTCGTCATTAACTTTTTTTATAATTCGTATTTCTTAGGGTTTTACACGACCTATCAACAATCCTGAAGAAAGTGGTGTGGAAGATTTTGAAAGTATGGTTCTGATGAGGATGAAAATGGCCCAAAAGAATAAAGATAAAGCGAAGAATACTGCGCCTTAATTGACCCAGCACACCTGGCTGTGAAAGGTATTCAGCAATAATTGGGAAGAGCTTGACGCGAAGGAGAACACAACGTTCTAAAAAAAGAAGCGGAGAGAGGTGCGGCTAGCATTCCCGAAAAAAGGCTTGCCAAGGCCTCTTATTAGAAAAAAAAATGACCCTCTAACCTCCAAGTAGCATGGCAGGATTAGCTTTGGAAGGACAAGAGATATCCTAGTCTCTATCTCAAGATGAAATGGTGCGCCATGGCAGGGGTTCTTGTTGTGAGAAATTGTTATTTCCATGCAATTGTTTACAAAACATTCAAACTCGCGTTCCTGTGACAATCACTACGAAAGGAAACCCTCTACCCCAATTTCTATTTCAATGCAGACAACTAAAGAACGCCTGTTGAGGCGTAGCCTTTCATTCTTGTTAAGAGCTTATTCTAAGAAATTTCTTTAGCTCCACAAATCATCATAATATAATACGTCTTTCACCCTTTAAAGCCAGGTTTCTATCAGAGCAAATGCAGACCAATCCAGTCAATACTTTTATTGTAGTAGAACAGCTTGTTACTGGTGTTGGTAGGGCCACCAAGAGGTATCAGAGACTGCAGTGCAAAACCAAAAGTGGTTGCGACCAAAGCGAGCAGAATATTTTTGCAACCACACCCTTTAAATCAGCTTGAAATACATTTAAGAATGTTTCTTGCAGTAACTTTCTTGTAATTGTTTAAAAAGTTTTACTATTTTGGGCGTATTTTGTTACGTTTAGTCTGGGTACCCTGGGTAAGTCTGGGTAAATCTGTTAGAACATGAATCATGCAAATTGTTCAAACCATGCAAATTGTTATGTCAGCATTGAAATGTGTACACTGGGTTAATTTGACACGCTGATGACGATGCCGAAGAGACACAAGTTGAAAAATAGTCCTAAATGTTATTTTTGGACTGGGGTACTTGAGACAAGTCCTCGAATTTAGACAAATACCCCCATCTGCGATTACTGATTTTGAAAAAAATATCATAATTTTATTATGACTTATGTGAATTATCGTGCAGTGAAATATTTCAAGAGGAAATTAGATAAAAATTACTCTTTGATGATTTTATTAGCATATGGTACTGGTGCCCATGCCTCTATTTAGGCTTTCTTCTTTGAATAATTACTCTCTTTTATTTGAATATGAAATGTAGCTTTCTCTTCTCTTTCAACAAACTGGAATGACTGCCAAAAATAAGAAAATATAACTGACAATCTTACCCCCTTCGTCCTTAAATTGGGGTTTTACCTTGCACTTACCTTACCTTAGTCTGGGCTCTTAGCACAGTATTTGATTTGAATTGTTCAAATTGTGATACCAGCCTGAAAATGGGTACACTGGAGTAATTTGACACGCTGATAATAAGGCTGTACCAGTTGGAAGTTGGGGCGCTGAGATTTTTCAGAAATTTGTGATTGGAGTACGCTTTAACGCCTGTGTTGTCTTCCAAAGCGTTATTTTTCTAGGAAACATGATCCATTTTCGGAACAAACAAGTTAACTATGTAAACAAGATACTCCTCGAAGAAAATTAACCTATAGGTCTCAGAAACTTTTTTACCTGATTCTCATTTTTCAAAAGGGGCGCACAATTTCTAAAGAAGGGGCGCCAGACCTGCTTCAACTCGGTGAGGGAGGAGCAATTGCCACTAGTTATATTCTTGCATTTGCTATTTTCAGTAACCTTGATACAGTCATCTAACAACTTTTATGGGACTTTCTGTGGCCATGTATTCATTATGGAATTTTTGCTGCGCTTCTGTCTCACCCTGGGCTGTGCAATACTTTTGGTCACTAAGTGCATATGGGTATAAATATGGTTGTATGCGTTCCACTCGATCCACTACATAGTGTACTCAATTTTTCGTACACGAACAAGATTCTGACATGCCTAAATACTTAAGTAATAGACACCAGAATTATAGATTTCCCTTTTCTTAGACGAAGCCCCATACGAGGGGCAAACCACTGTTTAAAATCACGTACGCTCTCAAAAATAATCACACTTTAATCACAAATTTTTCATCTCCGTAATAGAAAAATGAAATAATTAGAATGTCGCTTCCAAATTTTTTAAGAGCACGTTTGGAAATGGAAATCTGCAAAACACGTTCAAGAACATGAACAAGACAACAGCAAAACTTTTTCAGACCCTCCGTCCTCTACGAAAATAAAGGCCTCGTTCTCATATCGGGGTCACTGACAGGAATAAAAAATCAGACCAATTGAATCGGTCAATGATTGTTAGGATGCACCAAAACCACCGTACGAAATGACATCACAATCTCCCGTAGCCTCGCCCTGGAGTCGTTGCGGATGATGCTCGAGCTGACAAGCCAATGTTGACTGTTTACTGTGATTCCGTGCTATGCTTCTTCTTCAGAGACAAATTCTGTGCCACCTCCGTTCATCATTCAGACTACTGATCGAATCTGTGATCAATTACGAACCTTTACAGCTTGGCGGCTAAGGTTTGCGATGGGGTCGACAAACTTCTCAGTCTCCCACGAACTGTAATACCACACCGTCTCCAGGATACAGCGAGTCTCGGCGATGGCAGGATTCAACAGAGAATACAACTTCTACGTACTTCACTACACAGCATAACACGTACAACACCACTGACTCTAAAACTACTTTTCTAAAGGGGTATATATAGGCAGGGCCGTCGCTAGCGGGGGGGGGGGGGGGGTGCGGCACCCACCTAGAAAATTCTTGTCGGCAAATTTTCTAAAAGTAGAGTTTTGTCGGGTTTTACTTTCGAAGTTCTCAATGCGATAGCTTTCGCAAAAAGTTTGGATAAGATGAGTATAAGACCGAAAAAGTATCACACAAAAACACTCAGCAATTCAAAATAGGTACAGATGGCGCTTTGGGTGTCACGGAGGGGCAAATGTCTACAAAAATTTCAAATGACTCCCTTTCGGCAGCCGGAGTCTAGAATCTAATGTTCAATATCCAGGGCAACCTAATTTCTACCTAAAGTTTGGGGACAAAGTTTATTGAAAAACTCTGAACGTTGATCCTGGAGGTACTGGAAGCCACTGTAAGCGGGGCTGCCGAGGGGAGCAATGGGGCAAAGTGCAAAGAGGTTGATGGGGCCTCAAGTAGTAATGAACTCCATTTTAAGAATGAAATCAATGAAACGTAGAAGAAGTATGCCTAAAAATAGCTGAAAGTTTTGAACGATTGCAATAAATGACTGCAAGAAATATTCTGAAATGCATTTTTTTAACAATCTAAAGAGCGTGGTCACAAAAAATTTCTGCTCGCTCCGCTCGCAGGGGCCTCGTCTTTCGGGTTTCCTTCAAGGCCTTCGAAGCCTCTTGGCGGTCCTATTAGTAAGATCTACTCATGCAAACTAAGTACCCACAGTCACTCGAAAATTGAAGCAATGATTGACTAACGAGAACATACTCTTTGATAAACAAAAAGAATTGTGTCAAAATACCACACCCAAAAATTGAAGTACCTTAGGCCACGCCCTATTTTGTCGGCAAATTTCTGACTGGCACCCCCCTAAGTGAAAGTGATTAGCGACGGTCCTGTATAAAGGCGATGGTTAGAGAGAAGGCAGTAAGCGAGGGGGCTGTGTCAGCAGTTTCCTAAGATGCGAAATGATTACTTGGCAGAAAAAATGCCTAAAAGAGGGCATGAGGTAATGCGCTTTATAAAAGAATACCATAAACTCAGCAAATCTTGTGCAGGGTAAATCCTAAGACAAAAGATAGGCATGCTGCGTCACGCACAGTTGCCAACGTCAAGCGTGATGAGGAACTACTAGCACACTAAAATAACTTACGTAATATGCGTAATGATGCGTCTGCAAATACACTCTTCTTTTATAAGAACCAGTAAATTTAAGTTCAGGCTGACTGTTCTACTTTTTTCGAAAATCTGAGGCTGGATTGTTCTTAATTTGATCTAAATCTAATAGGGTGTAAGCAGTGCGAGTGCTAGCTTTTTCGCTCTAGGGAGGTAGTCAGGCCTCATTTGCCAACATAGTTAGTGAGACAGCTTTAATTTGCTGACAAATTTGAATATTCACCGAAAAAGCACCCACACACCGCTAAAAATCCTCGATTTTGAGAAAAAACGTTGTTCAAAATTGCACTTTGCAAAAGCTCAGCCTCACCTTGTTCTTAATTTTTTCTTAACTTTTGACCAATTTTGAGGCTCGTGTTGTTATAAAATTGTTCTTATAAAAAAATTAGTGTTCCGTAAATTCTCTTATTTTTTTCAGCACTTAAAGAGGGGCTTATGAAAGAGGGGGTATATTGAGAGAGGGGGCTTAATAAATATTTTTTAACAAAAACCGTATTTGTTATTTGCGAAATAAAAACATCAAATCAGCCTTCTTTATCAATAATATTGTCATCGTCATCGTCATCAAGTATTAATTCTGAAATATCTTCTTGGGCCAGGTCGCCTTCTTAAATCGAGCATTCGAAAAGGTCGACTTCATCCCTCGGAGTACCAACGGTCTGTAATTTTGGTAAAAGGCTCTCACATGGCCCGTGCTTAATGCACATTAAATCTTTGTCCTCTGTTCCAACAAGACTGGAAGAGACATAGTGAATTTTGATTTGATGCGAAGTATTGAACGACCAATGATTAAAATGAAAATCTTTGTCCTTTGTCAAGTTCACTTATTTCAGCATAAGTGAAAATTGGGGGGGGCGCTAAATTGAGAGGGGGGCTAAATAATTTTTTCCTTCTGAACAGGGGGGCTAATAAGAGACGGGGCTTAATTAGATAATTTACGGTACTCCTATGCGATGTGATATGTGAAGGGCCTAAATGAACATAAATCATATTCTAATAATAATAACGCGAAAGCTGACCCTATTACAGTCCCATCCTACTGTAAAACTATATGGTTTTACAGATGAACGTAGACGAAAGAAGGACAACAAAATATGTACCAAAGTTTTCTTTGATTATCAAACGACTGCGGTTTCAACGAAGCTTCCAATAACTAAACGACTTTCATTTAACGGCAACTTTAAATGAGACTATAAGCGACTTCGACTGAACGATACGACTCGACTCAACTCCACGGCTTGACATAACGACTGAATTCACAAACAAGGGCACAGCCACAGAATAGAAAATACGCAGAAGGTGAACTCTCGGTCGGCACCTTTGAAGTTTGCGTGCACAAACCTCAGGTGGTCAGAGTAGGAAGAAACAATAGGTTTGCGCCATAAACTCGTTTTGGTGCAGAGGTTTGGGTGAGGGATGGCGACAGTCTTCCTCAGTTGCTGCGAGGAAAAAAATGTATAGCGAATCAATGATTTGTTGTTCAAATTTTTAATTACAAACTTTATCGTTTGGTTTGTATTCTTATCTTTTAAACGCTTAGCCCGGTTTTGCCCAGTTTCACGTCTCGTTAATGCAGCACTGTATGATAGTAGAATCGGTCAAAATATAGGTGGTAATATTAACTTGCGGCAAAAATAGTTGCATAACAATTAATCTAATCTACAATTTTATAAATAATTCTTTCGATAAACCTTGTCTTTATTATTGTTATGCAGTTTTCGATTATTTATGACCCACCCCCTCCCCTATGCGAAAGTCGGTTCGGGAAATGCCTAGACATTTCTAAAGATTGGAAAAAATTATAGCATAGTTGTTCCCAATAACTAATATAGAAATTACAGCAAAATTCAAAACTGTACACAGGTTAACCGTAGCTAACATATTTTGAACCATCATCGATTTTCTATCGTGCGGTTCGCGAATGGGCCTTCGTTTGTTTACTTCCGTAGAATAAACAGCAGGAATGTGATTTTCACAAAATAATCCTTTCCACACTGAAAAATATTTCGAATGAAAGTCGTCATTGTTAACTACATTTACAAATAGCTCTTATTTCTAATTCTTTATCATAAGAACTGACTTTTTACGTTGATCAATTCTAAAAGGGCTATTTCTAGCCCAGCTTACCTACCGAGCGGGATCTGGCAGAAATTTGTAGGTTATCTGCTATACCAGCGGGAAAAGAAAATGTTTAAAGATGACAACCGCATAATTAAACAATTTATTCAAAGTTATCTTTAAGGTTCCAGTCATATCGACGAGG